GCACATATGTTAATTTTGGGACAGTTGAAAAATTAAAGAAAGAAAAACAAGTAATTGTAGATTAGAGAAGGGAGTATTATTTAAGACTGATAAATCGACCAATCTTTGGATTTGGTAACGAACAGGTAAGATACGAAAGCAGGAAGAAGCTTGCGGAGCAGCGTCCACGAGTGAAAGGACAGTTTGTTCGCCAATTTCCAAGCGAACCGCCACCGGGTGATGCATCAACTGGTTAGCATTGCAAATCATTTATCCATTACCATAATTTACATACTGCATTTGTAAGTTGAGCTTCAGGGAGGAGTGGCCATATAATTCGTCTCAGCCAATGTGCATTTGGAATCGTCAGCAAGTGGTTGGCATGACAGTGTATAGAGAGATAGATGAGTTTTTTGAGTTAGAATATGGAGAATATATAGTTGGGAGTTCATTCACTCCTTGTCTAACCTGTTTGTTTCTATAGGTTTTTATGTACCCCCGCGGAACCTTTCTCGAGACCAGCGGGTTTTGAACACTCGTTTTGAAACGTAAAGGAAAATAGTAGTTGTATTTAAAGGCTTTCTTACAAAACAAATACTCTGTACTAATCTTCTGTACAATTCTTAGGGTTAATTAACACTAAACACACATAATATTTGTGTTGTGCATTGCTTGGAAACCTTTGAATAAATGCCATTCCCCTATGAATCCATTTGGTTTTTTGGAGCAAAATGCAATGGCAAACATAAGTTTGGGCTAAAATATAACGTGCCAGGAAATTCGCACTCAAATGCAAATCCATGATCAGTAGTTTACCGAGTACACCGTACATGTTAATGTTAATTTTTTATTTATTACTCCCTCCGCTCATAAATCCGTTCATAAAAGATGTTTTTGTTTCATTTTTTGCGCATTCTATAAAACACTTCTTTTCAACCTTAAATGCTAAAAAAACTTTCAAGACAACTTCTATCTATAATAAAGGAGAAATGTGGGTAGAAGTGTTTAATGGAAATGCACAAAAAATAAAATAAAAACATTTTTTAGGGACGGAGGAAGTATAATGTAATGATAGTGTAGATGAATATTTAATACTCCGTACTTTATTTAGGACTGAATAGGACTAAAACATAAGTCATTTCCTAATGTAGGACTTAAAGTTTATTATTATCTAAATAGAACTTAATAATGACTAGTGAGAAAAATAATGTCCAAGTGATGCTGGATATTTAGTTGAATAATGACTAATAGATAATGACTCATGGTCCTACATTGGAAAATAAAAATATATGGTCTTATATTGAGAAAGTCATTATATTATAGTTTTATTTAAGTAAATTACCCTTAAATGTATGATACTTACATTTTAATATTATAAAGAGAGTGTACATAACTATTCACTGCCAATCACATGTCCCACAATTTACTTGTGAAAAAATGCATTTTACTCCCCTCCCTGTCTCAATGTTCAACTTGCACAATTTCTCTTGAAAGCCTCCAGCTATAGAACATCTGCAAGTTGGTCCTTTTGATCGGATATATGGTAGAGTGATGATATTGGTTTCTCCTTGATGAAGTAAAGGCAAACCTCAATGTGTTTGGTGCGATCATGTTGCACAGGGTTCTTAGATATACTTACAACTACAGTATTGTCAACACTATTCGACATTTTACTCTTGGTGGATATGCCAATTATTTAAGGAACTTTCAAAGCGAGAGAACTTTCGTACATCCTCGAGCAATGCTCTTAAACTCTGCTTCTGCACTTGATAATGCAACACCATTTTATTTTTTGCTTTTCCACCTGACTAGATCACTTCCAACAAAAGTAAAGTAACCAAAGATAGATCTCTTATCATTCAGATTTCCTGCCCAATAAGCATCTGTGTGACTGTGTAGGCTTGAATATCTATTTTTTGGTATAATACTCCCTTCGTCCATTAATTTCTTTCTCATTTTTTCTTTTTGGACCGTCTAAAAAATTTTTCTCGTTTCTTCTTTTGGCAAAAAACTTTTAATGAATGTACAATTATGCCCCCCACTTTTTATTTACACTATTTACTTTATTCTATCATATCAAGGATAACACATGTAAAATTTATATACTTTTTAACTTTTTTTAATTTTCGTACCAAGTCAAACCGGAAATTTTTTTTGGACGGAAGGAGTATAACACTTGAGAATTGTGATAGTGCATTTTAATTTTTAGACACATGATTTTTACCCCTCATTCCTTCATTCTTCATCGCTCACCGTTCAGGCAACCGGAAAATAAAAGTCTTTGGTACATGAAATTCAAATTTTAAAATTTAAATTGGGAGCAACCATTCTTACACTGCTGTTTTGGTATCACAAAAATATATAAGTTTGGAATTGATAATACCAAAAATAAATTAAAAATGGAGAATTCAATTTCATTCAAATGTATCATGTAGAATTCTAGCTCCCATTTCAAATTTTCAATTACAATTCCATTCATTCATTTCGTGCACCAAAAGGACCCTAAGGTCCCGTTTGGTACATGGAATTCAAACTATGGAATTGGAATTGGGGATTTCAATTCCAATTTTGGTGTTTGGTAGCACAAAAATTATGTGGATTTGGAATTGATAGTGCAAAAAATGAATTAAAATTGACAGAATTCAATTCTATGGAATTGAATCCCATGAAATTTCAATTCCAATTCCACCAATTCCTTATACCAAACGGGTGCAGAACCGCCTTCAAAGAAACCCCACCTTTCTCGCCGACGTAGTCGCCACCGCACTATCCATATTCACTCACTTCTCTTCTTCCAAATCGGCTAATACCATCCTCCACCAACTCTCTCACCCCTCATTTCCTTCCCTCCCCCGTTCCCTAAAATCGCCGCCATGTTCTTGCCCGCTTCGAATGGACTCAGAAACCCTAGCCTCATTTTCCCGACCCCGCAGTCCCTCTCCGATTGGCTCATCCCCCGTTTGCCATCGGACTCTTTCGCCTCTTGGGGCGTAAAGCCCGGCACCAAGAACGTCATCAACCTCTGGATTGAAATCTCTGAGGGCGAAACCTCCTTGTCCGATTCCGTGCCTCCGATCCGGATGCTGGAGGTCGTTGTTGTCCGGGTCATTCGGAAAGACAACAAAGTCCTCGTCGAATCGCACCAGGAGTTGTCCGACGGCAGTGTCAGAAGCCGAGGCCGACCCTTGTCCGAGAAAATGAAACCTTGCGAGAGTGTAGAAGCTGCTGTTCTTCGTGCAATTAGAGAAGAGTTAGGCCAGATAGTTGGCCGAGGCTCTGATTTCAAGGAGATTGTGAGAATACGACCCAATTCATATGCAAAGAAGGTGGAGGAGAGGGTTTCGGTATCATACCCGGGGTTGCCGGCTCGCTATGTCCTGCACACCATTGATGCCACAGTTGAAGGTCTCCCGGAAGGAGATTTCTGGACGGAAGAGGTCGAAGAATGCGAGGGTCTTGGCGATAGAGGAGTTGCCGAGGGAGCTATTACATGCAAAAAACATGTTTGGAAATGGGTCGATTCATATTCGGTTTGACTCTTTGCTGCTCCTTGATGAGGGGTTGGTTGTGTACTCTTAGCAATGTATGAGTGCTCTTTATTCTCTGATAGCCTTATATGCAGCAATGTAAGAAATGCGATTATGCTCAAATCTATACAATATTTATGAGTTCAATATCAACTATCAAGATATCATAGTTTCCATCTGTACACAATCCAGTGAGCTTTTTGAAAGAGTTTGCTATATTTGTTTGCTCAAGAGAAGGATATTGGACCTGTAACTTTGGAACACGCCCTGGATATGAGGTGAAATCCAGTCAATTTAGTATGTTCCCAAAATGTAACCTTAAGACACGTTCTGCTTGGGATATGCTGTGTGATATTTGGTATGTTTCCAGACTACCTTTAACTTCTTTCTTTCTTTTTCGATTCATATTTCATTAATATGTTCTGCTGGATATGCTGTGATATTTGGTATGTCTCAGCTAAGCTCTTGAAGGGAGAGTTGAGTGCGGATCCAAAGCCAAGCCATCAATCTCAATGTACTGTCTAATAGGGAATTAAGGCCAGGTCTTTAGTTTTTGTTTAGACAGTAGGGCTTGAAGTATTTTTTACTTTATAGTTAAGAGAAGTATTTTCATTATACTTTCCCAGAGGAAATAATCCCTTCTTACCACTATACTACTCCCTCCGTCCCAAAATAAAAGGTGACAAGAATATTTTATTTTATCAAATGATCAATGAAAACACGCAAACAAATAAGAGTTATCGAGAGGCCGTAATAGTAAATAGAAAAGACTTTTTGGGACGGAGGGAGTATCTTTTATTATAAGTAAAGGTTAAAAAGGATCTTAAATATTTTTAAACCTATATCTCGAGACACTTTAACCTGTTGGGCTACACTGCTTAGATAACACAGTGGAAATAAAAAAAAAAGTATCTAAATGCTATTCTCTTACAAAAACTAGAAATTATTGTTAGAAGAATACATTATCTTTTGCAGAAAACAGATTGGAAGGTGTGATGGAGGGATTTGTGCAACGAGCCAGTCACAAAAGCGTTTTGTAGAATTAGAAGCAAAACCAAACTCTTTCCTTACTCTTCCTCATTTTCGGCCATACCTCAATTTAATATTCTAATTTATTTTGTCATCTTTAAGTATCATATAATAACAACAAAATAAATAAGATATATATTTGTATACCAAGATTTGGTTCGATACACACACACATATCACCATGTTTTGGATCAACATATTTTAGACATAGCATCTATAAAAGTGACAGTCTCATAGTCAGAATTGTGACGTTTTTAAAAGAGGTCTATCAGAATTAATTAATTGATAATTAATTAATTAATGAGATGGACCTAGAAATAAGTGATTTATAAAGTTTGACAATTAGGGAGAAGCGTATAAAATCAACCAAAATTGCATTACCGCCACTGGGAATCTCCTTCATTCTTACATCAAAATTCTATCATTTTTATTCCATTGTGTTCCTGAGAGTGAGGAGAGCAGGCCACAGTAGCTCGTCGCTGTTGGAATCACCAATGATAGCCGCGGTGGTTGCTGGAAGTTTCGCTGTAAAATTTCCATTTTCATCGTTAAATTAAGGTTTGGTAGGTTAAAATGGTACTCCCTCCGTCCAAAAAATATCTTCCCGTTGCGCGTTATGATGCTTGATTGAAGTTATTTTCAAATCATTTATATGAAAAATGGTGTGGAATTAAAAAAAATTAAAAAATTACATATTAAAAAACTATATAAAAAAATTTACAAAACTAAATGTGACATTACTATTATTTTATCAAATAGACAATGAAAATAAGCTAACAAAATGGAAGCTGGCGTGGACTCTTGGAACCTAGAACAGACCACTTTGAGGCCAGTATGGACCCTTAGAAGCCGAAACGGACCACTAGAGACCGTCATAGACCTTTAGAAGCCGAAACGGACCACTAGAGGCCAGCATGGACCCTTCGAAGCTGAAACAGACCACTTGGAGGCTGGTAGGGACCCTTGGAGTCCGGAACGGATCACTGGAGGCCGTCATAGACCGCTGGAGTGAGGGAGCTCGCCGGACGGATATAGGTTGACTTTTCTCTTCCCTTCATCTTTCTATGGTTCTCTCTATCCTACCCAATCTCATATCTACTCTCTTTTATTTTTTTACTTAGTACTTTCGCTCTTTTTTTTAAAGTACCTCTCCACTTTTTCTTTGTTCTTTTTTTAAAGAAAAAACTCTCTCCCACTTTTCTTTCTCTTTTTCTAGGGACTCAAAACAAGTAAACTTTTGTACTCGGGTCCCACAAGTGGCACCAGTGATGGAAACTGCTTTTTTGGGACGTCAACCTGACAAACTCGTTATCGGGTTGGAACTGCAACAAATGGTGAAATCTGATAAATAAATAAATAAAATGGAGAGAAAGTATTTATACATGGAAATCCAAATCGGGAGAAAACCACAGTCTCTTTTAGGCGATACCATGCCAAGGGGAGGAACTTTTATTAATCTCGAAGGAGTTTACATATACATGAGTGTAGGAGTTTGGAGCCATTACTGGAACTCCAAACTTGAATAAGAAGAAGAAGCTAACTAGTATGTGGAGTATGAGAATGTAGACCATGGCCTCCTCCTCTTTACGTAGCTCCCCCTCTTTTATAATCGGGGGAATCAATGTATTGGGAGATAGTGTGCTTGCTTCCATGTGAGGTTCACATGGCCTTCAGTGAATATCTTTACATTACTTCAAATTTGGCTTGTACTATTATCTTACATTACATTATCTCTAAATTTCTCGAGCTCCACTTAAATAATTTATCTGATTTGTATCTTGGGCTGGACTTAATTTGGCTTGTACTATTCAAATAATATTAGATTGGTGCAATTTTTTTGAAATTTTTGAAATAGCTATTTTCAAACAACTAATTTTACCAAACGTTTCAATGATTAGCAAACACATTGAGCTAATCAAACCACTTAAACTAAATAGCCATTCAGAACAGCCGAACAAACAACCAAGATGCGACAACCAACATCCAAGTCAAGTCATAACTTCTTAAAGTTAAATGATGAATTTTATTATAGGATGAAAAAAGTATTATATTTTGGACACACCTATTTTGGGAAAAGACCTAAGTAGGAGTAAAACATGAATGAAGAACTAAAATAGGACTTTAATGTTTTTATGCCAAAATAGGTCTAAAATTAAAATAAAAAAGGACCCCACACACTCTTCTCCCTTCCCTCAACACCTAAACCGACAACTCCAAAACTATAAAAACAAGTCAACAAGGGCGCTCCACCATAATTTGCTGCTGATGTCGTCCCACTACCACTATCGTTGCTGCGCCATTGCCACAGTTGCCATTGCGTCCCTGTCACTATCACTTGAATCTTCGACGCTGCTGATCCAACTCCGCCGCCCACCACGTTGCTGTTAAAATCCACCAGTGCCACCGTTGATATTTCACCATCACCAAAGACATCACTGCTCTCAATTATAGTTGCTGACACTACCATTGCAATCTACACAGTCGATGTCAAATGCCACATTAACTGTCATATATAGTGTCAAAAGAAGACATATTGCCAAACATAGAACCAAATAATGACACACACGACAATATATAATGCCACAAAAGTTCATATATAATGGCACAATGTGAATTCATAATGTCACCCGAAGAAGCTGCCGAAGTCAACTCAATGCCTTGCACGACAATCAACGACCACCAACCCTTCTTCCATGGCCCCCATGCCTTTATGACGGCCGGATTACCCACTGCCCCCAATAGTGGTGGATCCCGTTGTGCCTCGCCATCCCAAAGTAGCGAGTAAATATTGAGTAGAAAATAAAATTCAATTAAAGAACGAGAGAGAATGGCTCACTTTTGAAATCAGGTCTCTTGGGGGGGGGGGTGGCATGGCATGGCTACAACGACAAATTTAAAGGGGTGAGGGTGCATGGCGACGTCAATTCGGTGACAGCGGCGACAACTGAATAGATTGAAGAAGGAATGGATGACAAAAGATGGCAGTGAGCAAGCAACGATGACTCTGAGAGGAGTAGGGGTGGGCACGAAAATCGTTCCCGTTGACCTGTTCCGTTTTGAAATTGTACCTTTTTTATTCAATTTTTTTCCCGAACCCGTTCTGTCCCAATTTTAAGTGGGACATTACCGGGATAACATACAAGTGTACCGTTCCATCCCATTTGTCCCGTTTTATATACTCTTCTAAAAACATTATAGACACACACACACACATATAAATATATATATTTCTCCGTATTTAGTAATGGTAGTGTGTGTGTGTGTGTGTGTATACACTAGCATTGCTCCGTGCGATGCACGGATTCAAGTGCCCGATTAATATACTATTATATATGAACTTTTCTCATGTATTTGTTTTACGTGTCTTTGTTTTGTATTGTTCAAATTGTAGCATGTTGATTTTGAGTTAGTAAGTTTTGTAATGTATTAGTGATACTTTATCAATAAATTCAATTTATTACCATGTGTATTAATTTAAACATATGTAATGGTTGCATATAATTATATTTTTTTGCATACTTTTTACTCGACAAATACAGATGTGGTGTCAAAAACTTCAATAACCATCTTTAATTGTTTGATGAAATAAACAAAATCATTTTGGTTAAATAACAAGAAGTCTATGATAAGACTTTGTGTTTTAAGCATTGAGCATAGGCTTTGCACCAACCATCATTGATGAAGCTAAACAGATGGTATTCATAGTAATATTGGTTAATTTGAGCTCAAAGCATGGGAGAATGTAACTAATGGAAGTTTAGGAAATATGTGCATATTAAATATCTTACTCCCGCTCCTAAAAGCCTTTTTTATTTTGACTTTTTTGCTAAAACAGTGAAATTCTTTGATCATAAATTTTGAGAAAAGTATATTTAACTATAATATAAATTCAATATAGTTTGGTTCATATTAGGATAGAGTTTTGATACATCAAAGTTTTATATCATTTGTTTATTTAGATTATGTTTAATTTGTGGTAAAAAAAATGTAACTATTTGGCCAAAAAACTCAAAACATGAAAGGTTTTAAGACCTAAGGGAGGATTTTAAACAAGAACGATAGTACTATGCTATCAATTATCTTGTTTCAACTTTGTACATATTTGAAAAATATTTAAAAGAGGAAATAATAGTGTTAAATATTGTATTTTAGTTTGAATAGCACCGGAAACTCAGGTAAGAGAATGGATTAAATTATAACAATTGATATAAAGCATAAAAATAAATTACTTTTTCTAGCATTGTAGTTTTGTCTAAGCCCAAGAAATTGCTAAACGTGTGGGTAAAAGGTATATCACATTACAAAGTAATATTGTGGAGCTTTTTGCAAAAAGAACAGGACATGTAGAAAGCTAAACATATCATAGTGTTGGATAAGTTTGTTGAATAATGTTAGTTTTTCAAGAAGCAATATGAGGTTTTGAAATACCAAAAAAATTAATAACATGACATTGTTAAAGGTCACCGCCAATACATGTAATAAATCAGTATAATCTCAAGCTAGAAGTGAAGGAATTATAATAAGTACAACATCCAAATCCCATAAAGTTATGAGTCAAAAGGTGTATAATGAATTTTGTGAAATTCTTTAGATGATCTTACAAATTTTTAAATTGCTACTGATGACAGTTTTGTTTGAAGAGATTAAGACGAGAGTCAAATTTGGATTAGGTACAATTATAACTTTATCATAGTTTCATATCATTTTAATATCTCTCTACTATGAAATAAACAAAAAGGTCAATGGTCGATACATAACTGAAAGTAGTAAGCGACAAAATCAAACCATCATTGTGTCTAGTAATAGCATTCATTGCATCGGAAGAGGTGTTTGGTGTGTGCGGAGAATGTCATTAGATCGTATATGGGAGTTAATTTAGAATTATTAGAATTTATTATAATAATTATACTCTGTAATTGTGGCATATTGGGAGTTAATTCTGAATAATAATAATAATCATTGTGTTCGCTTGTTTTTTTGGAATTTTCATTTAAGTTTTTAAAATAATTGTCTACCACCATCCTTTCTTTTTCCTTTTTCAAAGGATTAGTCTAACTTTGGATACAAAATAAAAAATAGATATAAAAAATAACAAAAATGATTACAATAGCTAAAACTATACAAAATTAATAAAATAAATAAGATAATCAATAGAAATTAATCTGAAACTGGTAAGAAATAAACAAAAAATTTATGGAAAGGGGGTTTTAACATTTTACGCACTATACAGGGTATGTACAACTTCTTATTTATAAAAGAAATTATATAGAATAATACCAAATTTATCCGTTCTTTAAAAGAATACGTAGTACATTAATACTATGTATAGTGCTTAAAATGTTAGAACCCTCCACACCTTATATTTTTATTTTATTTCTTACCAGTTTCAGATTAATTTTGTTGATTACTTTATATTTTATTGATTACCATATTTCTTACCAGTTTCAGATTAATTTTGTTGATTACCTTATATATTTTCTCATTTTTCGTAATTTTGTATACTTTTTTTTTTATTTTTTCTAAAGTAAGACTGATCTTTTAAAAAAGAAACAGAAATAGATTTAGAAAGTAATTTTTAAAATTTAAATGAAAATTTCAAAAATAAAAATTAAAAAATAAAAATACATAAAAAATAATCCCAACTTCAGTTTGTTACGCAAAAAAATGTTGTTTCCGTTAACCCGTTGTTAGCAACTTAACGCCAACCCAAAACTCACAAATTTTAGTAGAGTTGAGATTATTATGCATCACAGTAAAATATAGGATTATTTTTTAATGACCGGATAAAGTTGGGATTACTTTGAACAATTTTTATAATGATAATAATAATACCCTACAATTGTGGCGTATATGCTATAAAGCATCTCTCTAATTGTGAATTAGAGAATCAAGGGATTAAATATAACTAACGGTGTTAATGGCATTTTGGGGTATAAATTGCATGGTATAAGTTTTAAAGCCAATGGTACATGGTTTATGGATGGAAAAGGTGCATAATATTAAGGGGTACCTAACCCTTTTTCACATTTATATAATATAGAAAGATATATATAAACACATATATTACTCGGTATCTCGTGAAACATTTTGAGTACTTAACAATTAATACTTGTTGACATTGTTGTAGCATTTATTTTCAATCTTTTTGTTTTCAATTTTCATTATTGTCCGAAAATTAGGAAAAAGTAGGACAACCTGAATCCGTTCCGTTTTTTCCCGGTCCCGAAAATTATGGGATAAAGTGGGATAGGCTTATGGTTCGAACCGTTCCGAGCCGTTTGAATATAACGGGACAGGACGCGGGATTGTAAGAAACCCGAACCGTCCCGACCCGTGCCCACCCCTAGGCGATGGTGTTGCAAATGGGTGGTGACGATGGCAAATCTGTGTTGAGCGTTGTAATTGGGTGGCGAATCTTTGAAGGTTGCGGTGGCAGTGGCACAAGGGAGTGAGAGAAGTGGGTGACAATGGAACTCGGAAGAGTGATAGATTGTGGACGTGGTGGTTTGTTTTTGTTAATTCAAAAGTCGTGCGAGTAGGGATTATTATTAGTTAAAATAATTTTGGTCATATTTTAAACATAAAAATAAGTACTCTTATTTTGAAGATATGTGCTATGTTTTAGTCCTATAATGGATCATTTCTTAACTATTTTTCTTCGTGTAATGTAATAACGGGGGGAGGGGTCATTGACCAACATATGCAAAATTGAAAAAGTGAGCGTTTTAAGTAATTTTCTTAATAGCGCGAATTAGTTTTGGAAATACGTTTACTAACAATTTTTTAAGACAGGATTTTTAAAATGCTCGAACTAAACAAAAAAATTAACGTCAAAGGGGCATGTGTTGAAAGCAAATTTTTGCATGTATTTAAGATCTATGGTGGATCTTCATATATGCTAGGTAAGAATTTTCTAATTGTTGAGATAAACATTTATTTAAGAAAATTAAAAAAATTGTATTAAAAAGGTTCATGTGGACCTTAGATCTACCACAGAACATGTAATAACTCTACAAATTTCAATTACATTAGTGCTATGTTTGGTTGGAGGAAAGTGACAAGAAAGGAGGAAGAAGATAGAAAGGAAATTGGCAAATTTCTCCGGTTTGATTGTAAAGAAATAAGAAAAGAAATACGGAGTATGAAGGAAATGGGAGAGAATTGAAATCGAATTGAAAAAAATTTCAGTCCCATTTTGGAGTGAAATAGGAGAAAAATTAATTTCTCTCTCTTGCTTTTTAACACTATGTTTATTCAACGAATTTGAAAGGGAAATAAATTAAGGTGAAAAACAGAGGAAAATGAGAAACTGCCTGCCTAATTTCTTTAACCAAACATAGTGTAACTAGAGTCCGCCTTTTCCAATTGCTTTTTAACACTATGTTTATTCAACGAATTTGAAAGGGAAATAAATTAAAGTGAAAAACAGAGGAAAATGAGAAACTGTATGCCTAATTTCTTTAACCAAACATAGTGTAACTAGAGTCCGCCTTTTCCAATTGTATGTGACTTGATGAAAGAGGCTGGTATGCTTTAAGACGTACGGAATATGTTTTAAGTATTTGCTAAATTATTTTGGTAAAGTATTTGCCATTAAGCATATGATTCATGCATTTATCTTTATGATATGAGTTTTTTTGTTTGTGATATACTCTATTTGTCTATTAAAATCTTTTTTTAAATCTTTGTGAAATTTTAAAAAGTTTTCCTAGAAATCCTGAAAAGAATATTTTGTATGTTTTGGATTATTAAAAAAATGACTTTTCTGTATTTTTACTTATTTGTATATTATTAGACAAATTATTGATTTTTTTAAAGAAAAAAATGTCTAAAGTACAGCAAATCTACAAAATTGTCCATTCTTTCTTCCTAATTACTTTCAATCAAACAATAGAAGTTAATTCCATTCCCTCCTACTTCCTTTCAACCAAACAAACCTATGGAAGTTTTCATTTCCTCCCACTTCCTTGTTGGGTTTGTGGAGGCTTGGGCTTAATTTGTAAGCCCGGCCCGTTTGTTGTAACCCTAGTTGCGCTCTTCCTATATATATTGCATACTTGTACTTGTGATCGGCACCACAAGTGAAATAAGAAAATCCTCCCGTTGCAGCCGTGGATTAGGGAAACCGAACCACGATAAATTCTTGTGTGTCGTTTGTGTTCCGTTTCTCTCTTGATTCTCGCAGATATTTGTGTGTGTTGCGTGCATAATCCCCAACAAGTGGTATCGGAGCCAGGTTTGTTCAACACGAACACAAATTGCGAGTTGTCACCTAGGTTTTTTTGGGGTGTGCGTGCGCAGCCGCCTGGAGTTTTCCGCTGGAGATCTGAACGAGTCCGATCGCGCGCAGAGGAGATCTCAAAATTGTCAATTTGATCTCGCCCTGCCGCCGAAGAGCGTGTGAGGAAGAAGATTCACGGCCAGCGAATCAGCGTGGCTGCAAAGGGCACAGCAGCCGCGTCGAAGCAGCAAGGGAGCGCCACCGCCAAGTTGAAGGAGCCACCGCCGTCCTCAGTTGACGCTGCTGGTTCGAGGGGGACCTCAGCAGCGAAGGAGCCAACGCCGGGCTGAGAAGCCGCTGCCGCCTTCAGTCGCGCGCGCAGCCAGATTCGTCGTCAGTCGCGCGCAGAGGAGCATCTGCTAGTCCATCCAGCCGCTGCCGCTAGCCGTGCGCAGAAGCCGTTGTCAGAATCGCCNTAACCTCGTTGAGAGCATCCAAATCGGTGAGGATAGTGGCAACTTCATCAAGGTACTGGGTGATAGTTTTTGTACCTTTTCAGAGTGTGTGAAGTTTGTCCCGTAGTTGATAGATGTGAGCGATAGAAACAGAATTATACCGGGCAGCGAGAGCATTCTATAGATCGGCAGATGTGGTGAAGTTGCGGACATGCTTGTGAACAGACGGACTGATGACGGCAAGAAGGCATGCACGGATCTGAGTATCAATCACAATCCATGTTTGGAATTCTGGGTTAGGGTTTTCCTTGCCATCCTTGGATAGGATTTTTGGAGGCGCAACTTCATGACCATCGATCCAACCAAGAAGAAGGTTGGCCTCGAGAGCAGTTTTGACATTGAGAGACCATGCATGATAATTTGAATCGGTGAGCTTCTCTAGGATAAGATTATGGAGATTGCGGAGAAGAAGCTTGACGCGAGAAGGAAGCGAAGCAAGCGGATCTGAAGATTGAGTCATGGTTGCCGTTTATGGTCGACCGGCGAGAGGAAGGAGACCGGCGGTGAAGGCACAGTCTCGAAAAAAAGGGCTAGGGTTTAAACCTAGGCTCTAATACCATGATACAATTTGATAATAATTTGTCTTATTGAATATTGAGAGATATGTTCCTATATATAGGGAATACAAGAGAGAGTCTTATTCCTAGTAGGAAAGGAATAAAGTAATTATGGTAATACAAGAATAAGGAAACTAAATAATATTAGGAGTCTTCCTATTACTCTCCAACATTTATATATTTTTCAAATATTTGATCCCTGTCCACTCCCCCATCTTATATCAACTTCCTTGGGTCATGCTTTTGATTAGAACATTAAGAACACATTCCTTATCATATCTTTTGATTATTCAAAAAGTTTTTATGCAACCCTTTTTTCATATTCAAGCAAGGCAGTATTTTAATTTGATTGATGAATACTTTCTTGCTTGAGTTTATCTTCATTACTTGAGTCTTTGATGCTAAGATAAGCGACTTGTGAAATCAGACTCTCAAGTTATGCCAGATTGTCAAACTCCGCTAAGTTTGATTGGTAGGTAACTATATATAGTGATCACTCTAACACGGTTGTTCGGGTACTGGATATCGCCATGTCGGGATTAGGCTGAACTAGTTTACACAGTTGTTTTTATTGTTATTTTCCTTCACTTTTCTTATTCGTGTGGTGCATTCATTTTGATCCAAATTTTGTCAAGGATGCTCTCGTGTAAAATCAAGTCATTAGGACAACTCCTTTATCCCTCCCACCCCCTCTCTAGAGGTGTGCGTGGTGTTTAATAATTTTTCAAAACAAGGAGTAAATTTTAAGATGAAAAAGTTAAGTCGAATTGTACCATAATATATCTAAAAAAGAAAAAGAGTAATGCTAAAGATACATTAAAAGTGTACATCATCAATCTCTCTACCATATACTCTTTATCAACACCTTAGACTTTTTTTCTATATTCGGGATTGTGTAATGGAGAGATAGTGATGCACAATTGGGGTACCCCCTTTGTTTTCTCATACGTCTAGCATTTTGTAAAGAAAAATTGTACTCCTAGTAGTAAATAAAGGGGGGGTGTTATTGTGGTCCTAAGATACATATGTAAAATGTGAATCTTTTCATATATTTAAATTAAATATGTGTGGACCTAAAGATCACCAAAGGTTTACGCAAATAAAAAGAAAGATGTGGCCATACCATTGTCATGTGCTATTTCTGATACTTTTTCACTTTTATTTAAGAAATTACGATAAATGAGGGTAAAATAAAGAGAAAGTATCAAAATAGAAGTGTAATATCCCGTATTAAGAAGAGAATGGGAAGAGTTCAAAACGATTGATAGTACTAGTCATACCAACAAGACACATCTTCTTTTCGAGAGCTCATCATTTAGAAAACTCCAAAGTTAAACGTGCTTGACTTGAAACAATTCTAGGATGAATGACTTGTGTTGGTTTGTGGGGGAACAGTCTACAATTCTATGAGCGGAAGCTTACGGCCAGGGTGGAGGCCGATGTGTTACAAGAAGTTCCATATTTTTGAATCATTTTTAAAAATCACATATTATGTGATAAAATAAAATATTTTTGTCACTTATTATGTTATAGAATTTGTATGTAATTTTTAAATACTCAGTATATAATTTTTATTTTTTACTTCTATACTAATTTATAAATAAAATCATTTTTAAAATCACATAACTTTACACGTTAATCAAAAAAGTATTTTTTTAATGAAAAAACATTTAATATTTTAAATACTATGTTTTAAAATGTTGATCGGGTTGGGTTTGAAAACTACTCTTCAAAATATTGGCAATTTTCGTGCACTGATGGGACTTCAGAAGGTGAGAGAGACAGTGGGATGAAGATGGTTACAGACTTATTACAGATAGAGAGAGAATGATTTATAATGAAAAGGGATTTATATAGGTGCATAAGTGAGGCCTGCCACTCTGTTTCTCATTCCATTCCACCACACCATTTCTTTGTTCTGTTACCTTTTAGCAGAACTCAAGGTTTCCATCATCACCCAATATCTTCTTCAATCTCTGTTCCCTCCCGCACATGCATCTATATATACACACACAAACAAACACATAAATACACACACACACACACACACACACACACACAGAGAGAGAGAGAGAGAGAGAGAGAGAGAGAGAGAGAGAGAGAGAGATTTAGAGAGAGAAAGAGGGCAACTGTCATATAATGGCAGATTGCGTGTGTGACTCTGAATTACACAACTTGGGTACCATGATTATTCCAGGGAAGATTCAAGTCTAGGGAATTTCTGGGTTTTTTTTTGCAGCTCTTCTGCTAATTTGATCTTTCTCTTGTTTCTTGAATCTTGAAGCTGGTGAGATCTGAAGAACTGGGTTTCTTTTGTTATTTGTGTCTTGGAATGAGTGTTGAGGGTCATCTCTAGATTCAGGCAGGGAATGTTGCGGCTAATGGGTTAAAGGTTTTAATTTGTTCAAGAAGTTTCTGTCAAGAATGGGTTTACTTTATTTTTCTGGTATAAGCTATAGAGCTGATGAAGCTCATAACATTTTTGCTCTATAAAAGAACAGTTTTTGCTTGAAGATTAGAAGAAGGGTTTTCTTTCTTTCTTTCTTTCTTTCACTATCTTCGATTCTGCGGAAATGAAGCTTTCTTCTGCTTGTTTCAATCAGCAATCTCCTACTGAAGGTATTTTATTTAACTATCAACAAGGTCAAACATATTTTGAGTTTATGGAAAAATCCATGGATTTTTTTTGAAGCTACAAAACAACATTTTGAATTATTATTTTTCATAATAATATGCAATTACCCATATTTTAGAGATCATTATTTTTATGTTCTTAATCTTCTCCGAAATTCTAGAGAAGTTCTTTACCCAAAAAAAACTTTAATTGAAATTTCAAATTTCATCTTTCTTTTTTTTGATCTTTATGTGTGGTTGAATTGCAGGGGAGAAAAAGTGTTTGAATTCAGAACTTTGGCATGCTTGTGCTGGTCCTCTTGTTTCATTACCTGCTATAGGTAGCAAAGTGGTGTATTTCCCCCAAGGCCATAGTGAACAGGTCTTTCCATTCTCTTGACATATGCCGTATTGTGTCAATTTGATTTGGTCTATTCTCATCGTCAAACTTTTCGATGGATCTGAAGTTTTGGGTATACAATGCGCGTGTGTAGGTTGCTGCGTCCACAAACAGGGAAGTCGACGGGCATATTCCGAATTACCCAAGCTTGCCCCCACAGCTCATCTGTCAGCTACACAATGTAACAATGCATGTAAGTGGCAAAGAAAGTTGCTTTCCTAATTCTTGTCAAACAATAATTTTAGATGTCAAACTTTCATTCTCTTTAAAAGCAATATAGCCTTCAAAAAAAACTATTCTTTTTCAGGCTGATTTGGAGACGGATGAAGTTTATGCTCAAATGACATTGCAACCTCTTAGCCCGGTATGGTTTTTTATTTAAGAAATTGGTATTTATTGAGTTTTGAATTGGGTTGTTGTAAATTCTGGATTTGAATTTCCTAATTTTAGTTTTTTTTTGTTTCTGCAGCAAGAGCAAAAGGATGCTTCATTTCATCCAATAGAGATGTGTACCCCTAGCAAACAGCCGACAAATTACTTCTGCAAAACGCTGACAGCAAGTGATACAAGCACTCATGGTGGATTTTCGGTTCCTCGGCGTTCAGCAGAGAAAGTGTTCCCTCCGCTGGTAATTCCGTTTGGTTTCGCAATACATCCGAGGCCTAATTACATGTTCATTGTGTTTTAAGAATAAAGACTAAAACCATCAAAACTTTGGGAATTCGTGTTTGGATTCACAGGACTTCTCTCAACAGCCTCCTGCCCAAGAATTGATTGCAAGGGACCTGCACGACAATGAATGGAAATTCAGACATATTTTCCGAGGTGAGTCATTTTGGACACTCTTCTTGCCATTAGTTTAGCTTCTAAAATGACTTTCTTTGACACGCAAGACTGAACAGTATGAGACTGGGCTTATTAAGCAGAAGAGGTTTGATTTCTCTTGTTTTGCGGTCATGACAGGCCAGCCGAAAAGGCATCTTCTTACCACTGGTTGGAGTGTGTTTGTGAGTGCTAAAAGACTTGTTGCGGGCGATTCAGTCATTTTCATCTGGTAACCCTTGTTCTAACTTGTTTATCTGTATTTTAGCTGAATGTTTCTTGAAATCGAACTCTGGGTTTGTTTGTTGTTGTTGTTCTTGTACTTGGTTTTTGCTCATTTTTAGAATCACTAAGTTATATTATTGCACCTCTCTATTATAACCACACTAGGAATGAGAAGAACCAATTATTTCTTGGCATTCGTCGTGCGAATCGCCCTCAAACAGTAATGCCATCCTCAGTTATCTCAAGTGACAGCATGCATCTCGGCCTTCTCGCAGCTGCAGCTCATGCAGCAGCCACTAACAGCCGTTTCACCATCTTTTACAACCCAAGGTATTTAGAGTCTTTTGCGCATTACATTTTTTTTACAAAGTACCTATAACTTAACTGGTTTAAATTTAAATTGTAGGGCTAGCCCTTGCGAATTTGTTGTGCCTCTTACCAAATATGTGAAAGCTGTATACCATACCCGAATTTCTGTCGGTATGCGCTTCCGGATGCTATTTGAGACTGAAGAATCTGGTGTTCGCCGGTAAACAAAACCATACACATATTCCTTTCCCTTTTTCCTTGGTAAAAATTATAAACTATTGAAGTAGGTTTTCTAATCCTTATATTGTGCATTATTTTAGGCATATGGGCACAATAACTGGCATTAGCGATTTGGATCCCGTACGTTGGCCAAACTCGTATTGGCGATCTGTCAAGGCAAGTTTGTCAATCCTTAAACTGTGCTTTTTTCGTGTTTCTTTAGCTAATTATACAACAAAGTCGGGTATATCCCAACTTTGTCACGTTGTATATAGTCTTATCCCCGCCACATTTTACTACCCAAAAACTTCATAGGAATTAATGTGATTTTTCGGTGATTTGTGTGATTAGTGCAGGTTGGATGGGATGAATCAACAGCCGGAGATAGGCAACCAAGAGTATCTCTTTGGGAAATTGAACCTCTAATTACATTCCCAAT